TATCTTTTCTAATATCTTATCTATTATTTTCCTTTCTTCTTCAAATACAAATAAAACAATGATTGTTATGTTGCCTATTGTTGTCTTCAAATTAGCTGTTTCAATTACAAGATATAAGGATGAAAATTAGTCCAAAAATTTAAAGAGAAAGAAATTTAAATCTTAACTGTTCATTTCAATAGACCAGTAGAAATCAGCAGTACAATTATTCAAGCCATCCTGCATGTGTGAATAGATAGATAGATAGATAGATAGATAGATAGATAGATAGATAGATAGATATAGTCCCCCTTCCTCCTTTCCTTTCTCCTCTCCCTCATCCCGGTTGTGCCTTCCCTTTGCGCTAGGGGAATGCAAGGGGAATCCATAGAAGGGCTGTGCATTAGGGGCTCTTCCCCTTTCACAGTATCTATTGCACCTTTTAGATTTCATTTACTCTTTCACGTCCTTGCGCTAGGGCAACAATACACTGCTTCCCCGTGCAGGTCTGATTAATTTCACTCATGGGTTTGGTCTCTAGTCGCATCCACTCACTGATAAAAACCTCGAGTTTATCTTCTTTTAAAGCTGAGTAATGCTCCACAGTATACACAGCTTTTTCATCCATCCCTGGGCCTTTGATCTACTTAAATGAGTGCACATCTGTTTATGGAGTCTCACAGTCCTGCAGGTGTGAAGACCCTGATTCCTTCCCTGCAGCTGCATCTCTTTAGACCAAGCTGCTCAAGGTCATTGCCTCTGGGCCCGGCTCCCAGTGCTCTTCCTGTGACCGGAGCCCACCCCACCCGCGACGCCCATCCGCAGGTCACTGCAGCGCACGGCTCTTCTGCATTTGCCTGTCTTGGACTGTGAGGTCCCAAGCTTACAATTCTGTTCTCAGCCTGCTCAACTGCCCACTTCCAAAAAGTATAAAAAATCTACACAAGAAAATACAGAAAATCACATAGCTGCTTACACGGAATGCAGGGCCAATATAAAATGGTATATATAGAGCTGGAAGGGATGCTTTTTTCTCCCCCAGGCAACTGGAAGATATTTTATTCCCATAATTTTATTGAGAAACAAAGAACAATGAGACCAAATTGGTAGGACAGTTTCAATAATTAACACATTGCATACTCTCTTCCTAGTGGTTAATTGCTGTACAAGATGCGGACATGATATCCTATTTACAAACACCATTAGAACAAATCC